TGATTTCACACCCAAACTTTGATATTTGGATGTGAAGTAATTTCTTGGGGCTCTCTGATCTTTCTGTCCCCTATGGGATCTGGGTGGTTTTCTTTACATTTCTTAACCCTGAAGAACTAGGACAAATAAACAAGTAAATTCAAGCTAATCCAGACTAAATTTTTGACAACTCTAAAACTAGCTATGGTTCTGCTAGAAAATAAGAAAAAACCTGAAAGCGTTTCTATGGTACAAGAATGAAGAGTGGTTCACAATGCTAGACATAGTACACATTTAATAAATATTAGTTGAATAAATTGCAGGCTTTTTTTGAGTTAGGGTAGTAGAGATTCTCAGCAATATCTTTAGGGTTTGTCAAATTGGTTGGAAGGAGAGCTACTTTCATGAATAAGAGAGGATTTCCTGGTCCTTCCACCCACACACTCCCACGCTATATATGAGTAACAGGTTTCCTAAGCAATGAATGACGACAGTCTAAGAAAACACAGATTTCAGTGAGGCTGCATTACAGCGAGTACTAGAAAGAGAAAGAGGTCTACCTTTACCTGAAGTATTGCATGGAACTGGGCCAGTTGGCCTCATCTAGGCATTTGCCTATTGCAGCTACTGGTTTCTACACATCACTGTATATCTATATATTATTCTGTCCTTGTTATGTTGACAACGGGTGCTAAAAGGAAACAAGACCATGCAAATGTTCAAAAGACAAAAAATAATTCTGGTTCCTTAGATTTCAGTTAGTCACTAAAAATGCATAAGTTGAATTAATCATTCTGGAAACTTTCTTTATAAATTCTTGCTTAAATTCTTTTCAAGTGTAGAAAATTCCAGTAGAATGATTCCATTCTTATGTGCTGATATGTTAGAGAAATGGCTGCATTTGTATACCAGGACATACGTATAAGAATGTTCATGGCATCACTATCAGTCATAGAAAAAACTGGAATAACCCAAATGCCCATCAACACTGAAATGGATAAATAAATTGTTATAGTCAGTCAAGGAATGGGATGTTATACAGCAGTCAAAACAAATGAACCTCAGCTAAACATAACAAAATGGATGAATCACAGCGATACAGTTTTAAGTTTAAAAAAATCCAAAACATTGCATAAAGCATAGTAATCTTTTTATAAAGTCATAGCAATTAAAATCAAAATAAAATTTCTAAGAACACATTCATATGTAATAAAAATACATATGTATAAGAAGGAAAGTAAGAAAATACTGTAATGAACACTAGTTACCTCAGGACTGGATGGGGGAGAAACACATAGAAAGGTTTAAATTATTAGCAATGCTGTAGTTCTGCAGTTGGGAGGCGATTTCGTGGGTATTTATTATTATAAATATTATGTTGTAAAGGCAATAGGAATTGCACACGGGTGGCCAGGAAGAAGAAAGAATTGATGATTCTCAGAGAGTTGAGAATCTACGGCACACAAGTAGTGCTTTCTTATACCCAGTTAGAAACTATTCTCTACTGTGTCATAACATCTTATACAAGACTAGCAAGTTAAGAATTTATTTTTTGGCTAAAAAAAAGAAAACTATATCCAACACTGTCTGATTTGATTATCTTCCTTACTTATCTCCTTGGTAACAAATAACTTTAGGTTGTTTCCAGGAATTAAATTTGCTTTCAAAAGATAAAGGCTGTGCTCTCATTGAGGACACAAAAACAGAAATAACACACAGGCTTTAAAGGCAATTTTAAAGGGAGTTCTAAAATATTTGAACAATGAAATCTATGCTTAGCCTTCCAAATAATCAACCTCCTCAAGTGATTATTAGGAGGCAAAAAACAGTTTGGATATTGATATTGTTTTTAAAATCAGAATCATTACCTGAAACGGAAAGCTTCCTCAAGGTAGAGCAATAATCTTACCCTTTGCCTAGCATTCTCACATCAGCTCAATGGAAATGCAAATTTTGAACCAAAGGACTTCTTTCTTGGAAAGAACTGGAATATGGCGCCCTCTGGTGAATTATATCAGAGTGGGTTTTTTTCCCCTTTTAGGTTTGGACATCAAAATATTATAAAGTTTCAAATGACAGAGGAGTAATAGTACTGAACAACTTACTTTTTCTTAGTAAAACAGGTTAAAATACATACTTTAAAAATCATGTTTTCAGATATTGTCAGGTTTGGTAACCATATGTTGATAATGTGAATAAAATCAATTTTTATTTTAAAAATGTTTTGTGTTATCTGTAGGAAATTAATGAAAGAACAAGATAAATACCAATTTAAGAGGCCCCACCTATAGAGGGAAGAATTCTTACATCCTTGTGACAACATCTATCACACCTAGTTGTATATTAACAGCAATGCATATACACTTAAAAATTTGCTTGCCTCCTGACTCATCTTTCCAATATTTTGTACAATATAAACGAGGCCAGAAAGGCTAGTAAGGAAGGAAAAGCAAAAATTTTTGTGTTTCTTCACTACAGCCTACAAGAGGCGCCCCCCCCCCGCTGCTTTCCCTTTATTTTTTGCCAACATGATTATCCAAACTTTTTCAGAATCCTCTAACAGATGTAAAGAAACATTTTTAACATGAACAAGTTTGCCTAGATAGATATAGAAAGCATCACTTATAAATCACAATGTATTCTGATTGCTTAATAGGTGAAAATATTAACATTTTTTTTCCTAACTGAAAATATTGCAAACTAGAAAATAATAAACATATTTGATTTTCTTTTTTTAGTTTAATTGAATTCCTAGAAAGAAATTTAAGATATTGGGGAGAAGACTTATGGGAAGAAGTTTAAAAAAGAAAGTACTTAAGTATAATTTATTGAGTGCCTCCTATGCACTAACTTGCATGTTAGACACAAGGGATATAACAGTGAGCAAAAGCCAACAGTGATCTTGCACTGATGGAGTTTACAGTGCAACAGAATAACAGGTAATAATCAGAAAAGTAAATGGTAAATTACAACAGTGAGAAGTGGCACAGAGAACAGCCACAGAGTGCTGAATGCATATGCACCAGGGACCTGACCTATGAGTGGGGAATGGGCCAGGTGTCAAGAAAGGCTTCCATGAGGAAGTGACTTCTAGAGGACAGATCTCAAGGAGCACAGAGAGGAAGATAAGTTGGAATAAAAGTATGCGCAAATGCCTTGTGACTAGACAGTGCATGGCAGTGCTAAGAATCAGAGAGTGGGAGCAGAAGGGGAAGGAGCAACTGGTGGGAAATGAGGCAGCAGAGATGAGCCAGACCTTGTAGGGCTTTGTGGGTCATTTTAAGGATAGATTTTCATTTAGTGGCAATAGGTAGCCACTTAAAAAGTTTTAACTGTACTGCTAGTTAAATGATAAGGTCACTTATGCAAAGGATCTGGCATAATCCCAAATCCATAGTAGTAGGCCAGTAAATGCCCATTCCCTCGCAAACACATCCTGCAAAATTTACCTCTTTATCTAGAGAGTGTATTTAATCAATTAACAATCACAGTATCTTTTTTCTTTTCACAGTGAAGATCTTTATATAATGAATTAGCATTATTTAATTTTAATCTAATGTCAATTATCTCCCAGGTTAATATAATAAAGTAGAATTGAATGTGTATTGGAAATTATAAATTGTTCATTGAATGACAAGATAATCTCACAGTGCCAAAATTTTTATAAGTACAATTAAGTAAGCCTCTGTATCTGTATCTTGATTTTTCTGTTAGTTTCTAATACCATGTATTTTGCAAAATATATTAATACCAAGATGAAACAGAAGCAATTAAAACAATATGAGGTTGTAAAGTAAAAGACATAATTTAAAGGATTCAAGTTCAATATTATAAATTTACTTAGCAAGCTAAAATATGCCTTCAAGGAAGGCTGAGGAATCTACTTAGAAACTATCCATAGTTTTTAGCATATCAACCATCTAATCCATATACAGTGTCTGTGCCCTATTTATAGAGATTTCAAGCTTTTCAAATTTCTCATATTTTCTCAAATGTTTCTGCAGCAATCCATTAAGACAGTTTGCAAAGGATAAAATACTTAACCTGAAATATTTCAACAGTGCATCTTAAAATTACATTTGCATAGGAAAAAAGCAGCTACTGATTAAAAAAAAAAGTTCAGAATCTTTGGTAGCCAATTACCAGATAGGCATCACATCAGGGAACCATACTCTTCCCAAGTATTTAGAGACTTGAGTGTGAATTTCATCAAGGCTATAATTGTCATCAGGGATCAAAACTTCCTCCATTATAGAGAGCTGGGTTAGCCTTCTCCCACAGAGTCTTACAAACTCAATGAATGCACTGCAACTAACTTCACATTCGCTGAGGCCCAAGGCTGTCAAATTTTTACAGTGTTGAGCAATGCAAATGAGTTCATTATCAAGGGGCTGCAGACCATTAGCACATACCACTAATTCAATTAGTCTTGGACAGTTAAGACCTATCCTTCCTAGAATTGGTTTGCTTACTGAACAACCAAAATAAAGGTGAGTAACAGGGGTTTCTTCTTTGAAGAATGTCTTGAATTCCTCTTCATATAAAAAGAAGTACATCACAACATTAACTCCAGGCGAGTGTTTAATAAGTGCATCCCAACTGTGTTTTTTAATAGAATGAAATTCATTCTGTCCAGGGTTTTCACTCACAACATCAATTCGAAGATGTTCAAGGTTAACATGAGTCTCACTTGAAAGTGCTAGGAGAAGCTCATCACTTAGAATGTAGTAATTCAATGCCAGTTCTCTGAGGCCTCGACAATGATCAGCTACACAAAGGATTCCTGTGGAAAAATGAAAAATTCTTAAGAACAAATAATCATACTAATACTAATATAGCATTTTATAAATTTAAATTTTATATTAGTTATTCATTACTTGCTAAAATAGATATCTAACAATTTCTGAGAAGATGGTTGTCAAGATATATAATTATATATACAGTTGGCCATCCTTACCCGTGTGTTCTGCAACTGTGATTCAACCAAACGCATAAAAAATATTTGGGAGAAAAAAAACATTGCATGTGTACTGAACACGTACGGACTTTTGTCACTATTCCTTAAACAATACAGTATAACAGCTATTTACATAGCATTTACATTGTATTATCTATTATAAGTAATCCAGAGATGATTTAAGGTATACAGGAGGATGTGCATAGGTTATATGCAAATACTACACCATTTTATATCAGGGACTTGAGCCTCTGTGAATTTTTGGTATACTCAGGAGGTCCTGGAACCAATCCCTCATGGATACCAAGGGATGACTGTATAATACAAGGGTATTTCAAAAAGTCCATGGAAAAACAGAATTAAAAGATAATATGAATCTTTCCACAAACTTTTTGATGATCCCTTATATATATTACTTAAAATACTCTCAGGAGAAACAATTTAAACTCTATCTAGCTGGCAAATTAAGACTTCTTCTGAATAAAATTACATTAATGAATTATGTTTCAGAAGCATGTAATTTTCAGTAAAAAATTGCATTATTACCATAATTTTAAAAAAGCATTTAATCTTTAAAAACTATAACATACCATCAGATGAAACATGAGGGCAGCTACTCATTTTTAGGAGTCTTAGAGTATCACTATTATTGGCCACAAGAATCTTCAGTGAAGGATCATCTACTGGTGTGTCTTCAATTTTGATCGACGATAATGATTTTGAGTTGACAAAAACAACTATAAGTGCTGACACAAAATAAGACTTGCATGGCAATAAGAAAAAATGATAAAAACATTGTTTAAAAATCTACAGATTCAATCGAATAATTCATTAAAACTATTTATGTCAACAACATATGATAACAGCAAAAGCAATCAACATAACTGTTTTTCGTAATGCCATTAACCAGCAGAAGACATTTTTATAAAAAAATATGTTTTTATACTTTTACAACTGATGAATGGAATGGTAAGAAAGAAAGAAGTTTCAAAAATTTCATAAAACAGATCTTCCAATTATTTTCAACCCTAGGGCTTGATTTTCAGTATTAAAAGGATATAATTATATCTATTTCCTAGAATAGGGGTTGGCAAATCATGGCCTACCAGCCAAATCCAGTCCAGTTTCTATATTGTCCATGAGCTACGAATGGTTTTCACATTTTTAAGTGGTTGAAAAAAATTTTCTAAATAATGATATTTTGTGACATGACAATTACATAAAACTCAAATTTTATTGTCCATAAACAAAGTTTGATTGGAACACAGCCATACCCCTTCATTTATGTATTGTCTATGTCTGCTTTCACAATGCAAGGCTAGAGCTGAGTATCTGACTCAGAACTATGTGGCCTGAAATATTTACTCTCTGGACCTTTTGACCCCTGTCCTAGAAGAAATAGATTTTTATCTGTTTTATTCACTACCATATTTCCAACACCTAGAATAGTATCTGGCACACAGTAGATGGTTGATAAATATTTGTTAAAAGAATAAATAAATAAATAGATGTCACAATCTTCAGTGACATGCTTTTCCTAGGAAATTATCTAAGCAAAGTAAAGCCAAGTCTTTATATGTTTGAAGGTTTATAAATTAAAGCTTATAGTTTGACCTCAAAATGGGTAAAACTTCATAAGTTTTCAGACCCACTATTTTTGGGCAAAGATAAAGTCTGGAAACCAAATCCAAGCATGATCACTTTTCATTTTTCAACATCAATTTGGATTCTACTAAAAGTTCTAGTGTTCCTTTTAGAATGACTAAATTAATTATAAGTGATAATTCATTTATAAGAAAATTTACTGTTTTATACTAATCGTAAATTGGTTTCTATGAATTTTCCCGTGGTGAAGGGCTAGACCTCTACTAAATTTTATGGTGCCAAAATTATTTGAGAAATATAAATACAGCACTTTTTCTTTATAAAATATAAGGTTTATTTTCCCTCTCATCAGCCCTCAATTGATGGACACGGAAAAAAAAAAAAAAAAAAAAAAAAAAAAGATAAACAGGCTAGCAGAAATGCAGCTAAAACGGCCCGTGGCGTGCTCAGGAGAGTGCGGCGCTGGGAGCGCAGCGACGCTCCCGCAGCGGGTTCGGATCCTATATAGTAACAGCCGGTGCGCTCACTGGCTCACTGGCTGAATGCGGTGCGGGCGACACCACACCAAGGGTTGCGATCCCTGTACCGGTCATGAAAAAGACAAAAAAAAAAAGAAATGCAGCTAAAAGATAGTCATGACCCAGTTTAGGAGAGAGACACTGTTGCTATTCCTCTATCCTCTTCTACAGGAAGGTTTCCATTAGCCGGTTTTACCAACAACCATAACTTAGGGCTTATTACATATCAGGCATTATTCTAATTCTTAGTTTAAAATGGTAAATAAATGGATAGAATCTCTGCCTTCAACAAGTTCATGTTTAGCATGGAGAGAAGAGACTAAACATGATAACTAAATAAATAAGGTAGTTTCAAGTAGGGATGAATGATAAAAAGAAGATAAAATATTGCAATATAGTAAAGAATAACAGGAGGAGAGGGTGTTGTTTTAGCAGAAGTGGCTAAGGCAGGACATGGCCTTCACGTGGGGGCCTGAATGAAGACAAGAGAGTTTCTGTGGCAGAGTCTGCTGTTGTTTGCTGACAACCAGTCACTCTTTCTTCTTCGGTAATCCAGTCCCAAGTTTTAGCTGGGCACATTGCCACCTAGGTGAAAGATCTCCCACCCTCCCTGAAATCTGGTGTGGCCACAGAATGAGGTATGAACAGAAGCATGATGTGGTCCTCATGGGTGGTCTCCTTGCAAAGGAGAAGGCATATACCCACTTTCCCCATTTCTTCCATCCAGGTGCCTAGAACAAGGGCGTGACAGCTGGAAAATGAAATGTCAGGCAGACATCTTGGAAAATGAAAATGAAGAAAACACTTTGGGGGAGAATGGAGTAGCTGGAGAGATCCTGAGTTCCTAACAACTTCATACCAGCTATTCACTGTCTTACCTGTGAACTTCTTTAATGTAAGAGAAATAAACTTCAATCACGTTGTTTAAGCTGCTGTTGTTTTGGAGCTTCAACTATACAAATAAAAACATCATTCTAACAAGTATAGTTCATTTAGTTAAATATTATATTGTTCCACCTCCAATGGAGAGGCTATAGAATTATAGGAAAAACGTCCACTATTGCCACTACATGCTCTGTATTCAAAGTAACCATGTAAACTGGCACTTGAACATGGTAAGCATAACATCTAAATTTTATATTATTGACACTGTAGAAGCAATTACTAAAATTATAAAATACATCTAAAAAATGAAAACTGCACAAACTATTTCAGCAAAAATAAGTATCAGTCAACAGAAAACTGCTTTAAATAATACTTTGAATATAAGTACGATATGGGCTGTCTTTAGGATAAGAATCCTTTTTGCCTAGTTTGGCAATATTTAAGAATTTTAGTATATCTCAGAAAAACTCATAGTATCCTTACCTTTGACGCATTCATAAAACTTGGCTTGGCAGTTGAAATCAAGCCCAAGGTCTGGATAGAACAATTTACCAGCTGAGAAAGTATATCCCAAGCAGCTTCTGCTGATTCAGTACTACTATCAACCTATAAAGACAATTTTTAATCTTAAATAATTTCCTGAAGGTAATTTAGCAGGAAGTTACTGGAAATATGTTTAATAGAATTCAATTGCAAAATTTTATTTATCCCTTCAAGGTATGATATGAGTATTTTTTCTTTATACAAAATGTCTCATTTTATAAAGTGAGAAGAGATTATGACAAATTGACTTTTTTTTTTTTTTGGCAATTTGCTAGTACAGGAATCCGAAACCATGACCTTAAGGTTATAAGGCTGTGCTCTAAACAACTGAGCTAACTGGCCAGCCTGACAAATTAACTTTCTAAGCACCTCATACCTTCAAATCTTTTACAATTACCTGAATTTTAATAATACATCAAGATGAAGGAAACTGAAGTTTAAGTTAGTCAATTACAGCTCAAGTTCTATATCTCGATCTACACAAATAACTACAAAAAAGCAGGAAACAGTTTGAGATAAAACTTCTGCAATTCAGTGACTGCCTCAAAATAAGGATCTAGATACACAAAAACGTTGTTAACAAGATGTAAGGCATTGTTTCTATTTAATGCTTATTCTTCTTACCTTAAAGCTGACATATTGGAGATGGGCAGCATGCTTTTTAATGATCTGCTGAATGAGATCAGGATGAGTGGACTTAAAATATGAAGTAGCTGACTGGTTCAATTCAAATTCAAACTTTCTCCAAAGGTCGGGTATATGAAAAACTTCGTTCCATCTCCTACATACAGAAGATGCATGGGCCCTATCTATCAAAGGAAGATATTGAAAAATTTGTAATACCACATGGTGAGGCAAACTTCCCCAGTCTAGACAAATAGTGTACATATAAGTCTGGTTGAGAGAAGTGTAGAACCCAAGTTTTGGCTGTTTCACTGCTGGTGAAGACTGGACAGTTTTATTCACAATAGATAAATTGTTCCTCTTCATTCTGTAAACATTAAAAAAAAAGTTAGGTGTGTGATCATTTTTTTTCTCATCTCCATCAAATACCTGTACTCTAATTGTATAGGGTTACATTAGAAAATGGCATATAGTTTAAAACAATTTTAGTAGTAGTCTTCCATTTTAATGCACTGATAGATGTTACTTCATGCTGAAGATACAGAGATAAATAAGAGCAAATCTGTTCTCAAAGAGCTCTGGTCAAGTGGTGAAATACAGTAATAAATGCTATGATTGAAGTTAGGACAAGTTGCAATGGGGGAAAAAAAGAATGGGATTGACTGAGTTTACATGTGGGAGAGGTGGGTGGGGAGGCTTTCAAGAAGTGGTGTCCAAGGAAGCAGTGTATGTTTCAGGTTTTTTCCTGGACAATTACTGTATCTTAATATCTCCTACAAAGGAGGAGGCAATACATTGCAATTGTGTGAAGAATTCCTGGGAGATCTGGGAGACAATAAAATGTAATTAAAAGCATAGGTCTGGATATGTCCCAGCTCTGCCACTTATGAAACATGTGATCTTGTCAGAGCAAATTATTCCAAGCCTCAGTTTCCTCATCTTTATAGCAGGGATAACAGCAGTATCTATCTCATAAGGTTGTGAGGATTGAAGTATTTTAAGTAGAAGCACATAGTACGTGCTCAATAAAAGTTGTAGTCTGTGTTGCTATATTAAACTATCCAAAGCATTTTTCTTAACTATTTTCGTTACTTAAATCAAAGCACAATATTAACAAAAAGTCAAATGATCTGCAACAATTTGCAGATGACAGCCAGGACACAGGAACTCTAGAGAAGTTGGATATGGCAGGGGCAGTCTTTGTGCAAACAACATAGCTGATCCCCTCCAGTTAATGTAAAACAGCAAGGGAATGAGCATTCTCCACCCCCAAAGAGAACTGATTAATCTCCAGGCATAAGCCAGCTTGGCATACTTGAAGTCCAGATATATCCAAATATACCTGGTCATCTTGTATCTATATTTCATATAAGAATCCAAAGTATTTTAAGTATACAATTATTTGAAAGGCAAAATAATGGTAAGAGTGGTTCTGAATTTTACTTAACTTTGGTTAACTATTTAACCTTCCTTTCGCCCTTCAATGTTAGGAATGTATATACGGAAGATTCCATGTCATAATTGAAACACACTTTCAAATCTGATGAAATATTTATTTAATATATAAATATCTCTGTTTCGTGATCCTCTCTGTCTGATGTGAAATTTCTTAATCACAAAACAGAGTTAGATCCCAGAAGTAGGACTAACCTACAAAGGCACTGAACAAAATGAAAAGTCATCTTTAGGGTTTAGAAAACTGAAATGGAAAGCAAAAATAGCTGCAAAGCTGTACCTCAAGCATCAGGCAAAAGAGCTACAACACACTTTTTGGTCTGACTAAACCAGTTATGTGTATAACTTACAACTTGTCCAGCAACACACGAAAATGCTGGCTATCAATAACTCAAAGCATATGCTATTTTAAAAGGGTCAATCTACTCTTTAATGCTAATTCCCTAACATAGTAAGGTAAAGGAATAGATTTTGGATTCTAAACTCAGCTGTGGAGCACATTCATCAACATTTTGTTTGCAAATGTTTCATTTGGTACCTACAAAATGGATAGTTAAAATTTCACTAAGCTATTACAAAAAAAGTTATCCCTAATATGAGGGGTCTTCAAAAAGTTCATGCAAAGATTTGTATTAGATTTAATTCCATTTTTCCATAAACTTTTTGAAGTACCCTTGTATAATCCTTTACTAGAAAAGCAGTGAAGCCAAACATAAAACAAAGACTTCCCCCAAATGCCAGGTTAGAAAACTTCCTTGCAGTTCTAAATAAAGGGATTGTGCTACATATCAAATCTGATTGTATGCAACATAGATAGGTAGTTAAAATTATTTAGCAAAATCATTAAATTGCCAATTCACTGACAGAAGAATCACTATAAATAATTAAAAGGTATTAATACCAATAATTTATCAAAAATAACATTTTATTTTTCTTTCTCCTTGTGCATATTTTCAGAGCATAAAAGTCATCCACAAATCATTTAATATAAAATAACTTGATAGCTATGTGCATCAGTAAAATATATTTTAGAATGCACAACAAATTGATCTTTATTAGCTTGAAAACTTTAATATAAAAATTCCATCCTAAATATATATGACCATTTAAAAAATTGATCATTTCTTTTTCAAGCCTTTCTTACCTAAAGAAGGCTTCCAAGTTATAGTTCACTCTAAACCAACGAAATGAAGTCACTGCTGCCATGGGGTACTCACCAACATCCATTTGATCTCACTTCCTATCTTGGCAAAATACCAAAAAGAACATTCCTCAGAATACATAAATAAACATCCAATAATTTTTATGCTTAGGATATTTATATATCACTGTATACACTGAAGGATTCTGTTAGACAATTATTGATTGCAAAACTACTTTTTGTCCATAAAAAAACTAGCCTGCTTAGTAGAAATATTGCCAACACTTGCCAGGAATTACACTAGAAGCTCTACTAAGGCTATGGAGCAAACACTCAAAGGGGCTCTGAAAATTCACATTTTAATTCATATGTATGGAGAAATATTACAAAAAATTTAAGTTAGTTCATGCTACACTGTTTTGTTTAATAGGCTGTGCAAATATTTCAGTTCCAGTTTTTAGCAACATGTGACACCATTACAGTTATAATAAACGGGCAGACATGTAACTTTTGTTATTTTATCATTCCCATACAAATACAGTCTGACTAATCTGCTGTTAATAAAATGTGTCTAAATTTTTTTTAAAATTTTCATTTATATTGATAGATTTGGCATTGACTCATTCACATCTCTCTAGGAGAAAAATCTCTGAACATGGAAAAAATAATAGATCTACACCAGGATAAAACTTTTGGCCTTGGCATCATGAATAAATTTTGTAAAAAGTAAAAATAAATACAAAATGCATTCTACTACTTTTGTAATTCAAACTCAACTACATTGAAGAGGTAGACAAGGCAACCTATTAATCCACTAAAAACTTCTTAGATATCTACTGTATACCACCGGCCAGTTCTCAATTTCTCTCCGAATCCCACTCCTACAGTAGAGCTTTGAAGGACAAAGGGAATGTATTTGGACTCAGTATCCACAATTTGATTTCTCCACTGCCATCTGTTGTTCTACTATTAGCCAAACCACTGTTGTCAAGATAAAGGAAAGGTTGGCTCTCCTTCCTTCACACTGCACTGCGCCCACGCCGTCGGCGGCCCCGCCCCCAGGTCCCCGCGCATGCGCCCGGCTCCCACGCGCCGCCGCGCGTCGCGATCGTCCCCCGAAACCCTCGACAGTCTCCGGGGGTCCCTGGGGACACCGCTTAGGGGGCGAGTGGGAGGTTTCCTTTCTGCTGGCCTTCAGCCAAAGCACTGTGACCACCTGCCTGTAAAACAGACGGCCGTCCTCTCCAAGTAGCAGTGAACTAACAGTTCCAGTTTCTAGGACTTGCCCTCCCCGAGAAGCGCACCGCTTTGTCAGTATACAAATACTTGAAATTTTCTAAATATCAAAAGTGGTAACAATTCAGTGTTAAACGTGTATATATTACCCTCCTGTCTTGTGCCTCATCTTCAGTCCCCGGGGGTGACCACTCAGTAGTTCGTTGTGCAGACTACCAGCACATACACGAACAAGTATATAGTGAGAGGTAAGGATTTTACTGCTTTTTGTTATTGTTTCTTTTTTAAAATTGAGATCAAACTATGCATAACATTCTGGAACTTCCCCGTTTTGTTTACATCATGGGCATAGTTCCTTATCGACCCACACAAATCCCTCTCATATTTTTTTTTAACAAACAGCTTTATTGAGGTATAATTGACAAACTGCACATACTTCAAACGTATAATTTAATGTTTTGACACCCTTGAAATAATTACTGCAATCAAGATAATGAATATTTACATATCTTCCCCAACTTTCCCTATGCCCCTCTGTAATCTGTCCTTCACTCTCTTTCCGCATTTGCTTTCTGACCCTAATCTAATCATATTGGTTTGTATTTCCAATTACATAAATGGAATCATATAGTGTGTACTCTTTTTATGTCTAGCCTTTTGCACTAAGAATAACTGTTTTGAGATTCATCCATGTTACTGCATGTATCAGGTTCATTTCTTTTCAGTGCTACTATTTCCATTGTACGGATATACAACAGATTGTGCATTCATCTGGTGAGGGACATTTGGGTTATTTATAATTTGGGGCTATTATAAATAAAGCTGCTATGAATATTACTATTCACATCTTTGAATGTACATATGCTTTCATTGCTCTTGGGTAAATACATAGCAGTGGAATAGCTGCATTGTGTAATAGGTATCTGTTTAACTTTTTTAAAAGACTGTCAATGTGTTTCCCAAAGAGGTTTGGACTATTTTACATTTCCCCCAGCAGTGTATTAGATTTCCAGTTACTCCTCATCCTCACCCACCCATGGTCAGTCTTTTAAATCTAATAGGTGTCCAGGGGTATTGCATTGCAGTTTTGATTTGCATTTCCCTAATGAAGAATGATGTTGAACATTTTTTTATGTGCTTATCTACCATCTATATATCTTCTATGCTGCCCAATTTTAATTGGATTGTTTCCTCATTACTGCATTTATAGAATTCTTTATGTGTTCTGGATACATGTCTTCTCTCAGATAAATAATATGTAACTATTTTTTCCCCAGTCTGTGGTGTGTCTCTCATTCTCTTAGCAGTGCTTTTTGAAGAGAAGAAGTTTTAATTTTGATGAAGTTGTTTATCGTTTTGTTCTTTTATGGATTATCTGTCTTATGTCAAATCTAAGAAATCTTTGTCTAAGCCAAGGTCACAAAGATTTTCTCCTGTATTTTCTTCTACACAGTTTATTGATTTAGATTTTACATTTAGATATGATCCATTTGAGTTACTTTTTGTGTATGGTGCCAGATATGAGTCAAAGTTCATTTTTTCATGT